CGGTACTGTGTATATTAACATCGGAGAGCACTCGAAAGCACTTTCGTATTATGAACGTGCTCTGGCCATCAAACAGCGTGTATTATCTCCAACTCATCATAGTATTAAAGATGTGATAGAGCGTATCGAAATTGTAAAAGATATGATAGAGTGTATTGAAATTGTAAAAGATATGATAGAGTGTATTGAAATTGTAAAAGATATAATAGAGTGTATTGAAATTGTAAAAGATATAATAGAGTGTATTGAAATTGTAAAAGATATGCTAGAGAGTATCGTAATTGTAGACATACGATAATGAATACTTGATAAATAAATAATATTTTCTTCAGTTATTTTCAAATTAATTCTGTTTTCTAATATCTCGCGCGCGCACAGAAAACAACGCTGTAAATAATAAAAACGTGATGGACATAGCTGACTGATAGGGTAATACCCATACATACGTATATGTATAAATGAACTTCTCAGGCATGTTTACATATTTGATTCTTTACGAGTGTTGCCTGTAATAAAAAAAGAATATCTTAAATAGTGGTCGTCGAATAAAACAGTCTAAAAAAAGAATAACTTAGATAGAATTGAATTGATATAGTGTTGAACGAGGCCTCGTATGATGAAGAAAAACTTAAGAAAACTGCGATATGTATATATATTGATATGTTATCAACACATTATGTAATTGAATCGATCAATTGGTATTGATCATTAACGAGAAACAAATGAAAAGAATAATAATTTATTGATGATATTTTGATGAATTTAGACATATTGAAAATATGACGAATTATAATTTTTATTTTAAATTTTTGATGAATAATGTTTTGCAGTTCTTTGATCTCGGATTTAGACTAAGAGAGATATTGTTTGATGAGATGTCTTACAATGATTGCTCAGTATTTAACCACTATTGAAAATATTAGTACAAAGTAAAACAGAATACGAATGAGATATTGTCAGTCAATTCTATACCTATACTTATAGTAACTACTCTTTTGTTAGTGTGTGTTTTGTCGAATCTAATGTTATTCGTCGAATGACATTCTTATTGAAAAGTATTTCGTCGACAAAAAGTTTTCGACGATAACTTGTCGACCAACTATATAGTTACAGTTTCGCCGAATTAACACTACATTCACTTGAGGAGTCAGAGATAAGGACGAAAAAACTAATATGCGCTAGTATACTCAGATTGTACATATAGGTGAATGTAATGCATACATTACTATTGCCTTCGTTTTCAAGCTTCCATTCGTCTTGAAGGTGTAGATGTGGATGCAAGACTACAAAACTTACCCACACCCATCGATCTGTGAGGAAGAAAGAGCATTAAAAGTTCAATGACATCATCATTATTTGTATGCATATAATCAGTAGTATCTAAGAAGATGTGATTTACAGCTACCACACATTATAGAACAACTCCTATTTATCTTAATATGTGGTAACAAGAGGGACATGTTGTTATAAGCAACTAGTGACAACTATAGGAAAACATTGATACTATATACAACTTTAATATAATGTGGATTGGACTGGCTGACACCATCTGAAATTCACGCCATCAAATTCCGACAGGTTCACTTCTTTTATTTATCTCTCACTTTCTCTACGTGATATTTCTACCTTATCTTCTTAATTAAACAACTTCTTATCATGACTAATAAAAATATTGCTTATTCATGTGACACATTTGTTGTTTTACCACCGTTGACAGATTCAAACTTTCATATATTTGGTAAAAATTCAGATCGACCAACAAGAGAAGTTCAAGAAGTTATATTTGTTTCAAAAGAACATACAAGCGGAAATAAGGATCATGTTCAGGTATGAATTTGTTTTTTGTATACTTTTACTTATTCCTTTTATTTAGTGTACTCATATTCAAGTTCCTCAAGTTTCAACAACTTATCGATGTATTTTATCAAAACCAGCATGGTGTTGGGGTGCTGAAATGGGTGCGAATGAACACGGCGTATGTGTTGGCAATGAAGCTGTAATCTCAAAAATACCTTTTGATACGCGAAATAAAGCATTGACTGGTCTTGATATTGTTCGGTAAATATTTTTTTTTTCGGTTTTTAAATTAAAATTAATTTTGATTCTTTTAGCTTATCATTAGAACGTGCTAAAACAGCTAAATCTGCTGTTGAAATAATTGGTCAATTAATTGAAAAATATGGTCAAGGTGGCGTATGTTATGATCCAACATCAGATATTTCATCTGGTTATGATAATAGTTTTCTTGTTATGGATGATAAAGAAGCATGGGTTGTTGAAACATGTGATCGTGTTTGGGTAGCTAAACATATTAAAGGTAAAATATTTGCTTGATATTTTATACAGAAGCAAATTAAAAGTTTTCTTTTTTTTCTAGAAGGATATTATAACATTTCAAATGTATATGGTATTGAAGATGATTATACACTTCATTCGAATAATTTAGAAAGTTTTGCTAAAGAAAAAAATTTATGGAATGGAAAAGAAAAAATAAATTTTGCTGAAACATTTCAAGATTCAACAACATGTAGTCGATTAACAGCAGGACGAAAATTACTTGATGATTTAACTAAAAATGGCAATTTTTCTGTTTTTGATATGATATCAATTTTACGTGATGATCAGTCAGGTATATGTATGTTAAGTGGAGATAGTGGTTATACTTCAACTGGTTCACAAGTATCTGTATTAACATCAGCAAATAAAAAAAATTCTCAAGTAGATGCATGTCATTTTCTTACTGCAACACCAAATCCAAAAGTATCATTATTCAAACCATTTATTTTTTCGGATAACGTTGAATTAGGTCCATTGACTGTTTCAACACCTTCTGAAATAATATCACAACGTACTCATCCATTATATGCTGCACATCAAAAAGCATCAACTGAACAACTCGAATCTAAACGTTTAAAAGATTTCGAACATGAAGGTATTATGGAAATTATTGGTAAACTTAAATCATCCGATGAAAATAATGCTGATACGTATGAAACATTATTTCATGATACAGCTTCCGCTGAAATTGAATTACTTCGAGAACATCGGCCAACAAAACGATCTTAATTGAAAACAATTTCAATTTTATTTTTAAACCTACCTATTGCACACTATTCACTTACTAGTCTTGTATGTCACTGTATTCATTTATTTTATCGTATTCTTATTCATTTCTTTCTTATTCTATATTTCTAACGTGTTTGACATGATCTATAAACGACGAAATGCATTTTTATCAATACATGAAATCGACTGAAACTATTGTAATATTCAAATTCTAATTTGTTTTATTAGAGTTGCATGAAATGTGTTAGTAGTTAGTAGAGATTGATATATAATCGAAGACTGAAAAGAAATCAGGAAATGATATCAAAATGACTTATTATTTGTGACAACTGCCAATCTCAGTTTTTGCTGATGAGAACACATCATCTTTCTAATTATATATCATTAAACAATAGCGAAACACGATTGTAGACGATTCATTACCGACATTTTCTAAGATTATTGTTTAAATTTTTACTTCATAAAGAATTGCAAGCAGAGAAAAAACTAATATGTTATTAATTAAAAATTGCACTTTTATAATAAAATTAATGCATACCCGATGATAAAAAGAAATAATGCAGATTGAATTCTAAAATAGCCCACTACATTTATTTTATTTATACCAACAAAATGCTATATGTTTATGTAATAGTTGAGAATTTACATTGAACATGAAAGACTAATCAGTCCAGATGCGATGACGATCATAAGCGTATATGTATACGTAAATAATTATAACGGAAGACAAATTATAAATAATCTTTTTGATAGGTATAATATTCCCTAGGGCATGTCAGCATATGTGAACTACTAAAATTGTGTCTTATCTATGAGTTACTGCGGTGAAACTAACACTATCACTGTAAAAATAATTCTTTTTTTGTGTCTTTATAATTAAATTATGATGTTTATAGTCATATAGTAGAATCCATTGATTGTATTCGGTTAAATTTAATTAGAGTAGATTATCTATATAATCGATTATTTACTGTGAGAATTGTTTATGATATCCTACGATATTATCTACATATTATTTAACGTTACCATAGATGATATCTCAAATAGCTTGTCGTACAATAAAAATAGTGAAATTGTTAGTCAAAAAGTGTTATATCATCCAGCTTTTTATATGCAAATCTCGCTAGATGATTTTTCAATAGAAAAAAAACGAGATACGATCAAACTCAACGCAAGATTATTAGAAGATAAAAAAAGGAATCATTTTTTCTACAATAAATCGTCACTCTCTTGTGCATATGCAATAAAATTAGCATTCATGATTTAGATCTAGTTACTAAATATTTAATTAAAGACAATCTAAAAATGAGTATGTGATAAAAGAAAGTCCTCTTTTATATTAATAATTCATTATTTCGTGACTAGATTACATAAACATTTCATCACAATATAATTCATACTATTCTCTAGAGTACATTCAAGAATGATTATAATAATAAAAAGAAATACTTGACACATGACATTTAAGAAATAAGAAAATTTTCTTCGTTGCTATTATTTATTCAATAGTTAAAGTTAATCCATTTAAATACAATTTCGTTTTTTTTTTAAATTTTATTTATTATTATCTAATTTGAAACACAATACAAACAAAAAAGAAACAACAATAATAACATACATTCTTTCATTCTATTGACTAGGTTATTATTTCATATATATATTATCATCATGATCATGTTCATTTGATTCTAACGATGATGATCCACTAGTACAACAACAACAGCAACATCGACATGTAATTAATTTTTTCAAACATAAACGAAAATTTCTACTAAATATAGTTAAAACAAAAAATTTCATTAATATTTGTATGTAAAATAATATTAATGATAAATCATATGCAATTACAATTTCATCAAATATTGTTTTTGATAATAATGTTGTTTGTTCACGTAAAAATAATTTACCAAAAAAAATTACAAATGAATATGGTAAGACAAATATAAGATAAAGAAAACACATGAAGATAAATAATTTTGTTATATTTTCACGTTCACGTGTTTTTGAATAATGTATAGAATTTTCATGTGGATTACCATAATGTATTGTATAATGTCCATGATTTCCACCATTGGATGTTAGTAAATAATGTTCTTTTTTTTTACATAATGTATATAATAATGTACCAAGAAAAACAAATATAGCAAATAATGGTATAAATAAATAAATAATATGTAAAAACCAAAAGTAAATATGTTCATATAAAAATGATTCACGTAAATATGTTGAACGATATTTTGTTCCATAAGATTCCCATGCAAATAATTGTGGTATAGAAAAAATAATACCTAATAGAATAATTCCAATAATGAAATTTTTTGAATTACATGGTGTACAAAAAAGTCTTTCATTATAACCATTTGATTGTATTGCTGTGCATGTATGATCAAGACAACTGATTAAAAATAACCATAATATAATAAACCATAGAATATAGAGAAGAAAATGATAATAAATTTTATCATTGAAAAATTTTGGAACGATATCTGGATAATATTTTGGTATATAAAGACATGAACCAAGTAATAAGAACAATATATCAAATATTGTTTGTGTAAATAGATATGGTTTAGATGTCATATAAACATTTTGTACTAATGATAGTAAAGTTATTAAAGAAAAAATGATTCCACTTAAAATTACAATTGGATATGCATAAGAAAGGACATATTGGATCATTGATATCCATTCAGGATTAATTATTGTTGGAATTAATGCTGTTGTTGAAAGTGAATGTGTTGTTGATATTGGACTATGATTCTCAAACTCATAGCGATCCATAGATAAGATTATCTGAAAGTAAATATAGATTAGAAAAGAATTTCATGCTTAAATAAATCATATGGGAAATATTGGACTTTTCTGTTCATTCACCTGTTTGTTAATCGATTGTTCGTTTCTACTCAACAAGCTTTTATAGATGCCCATGCCACTCGAGACATAACGGCCATGCACGGTAGTCCGATGCCCCTAAGGAATGTATGAGCCGATGCACAATCAATTTTTTTCTCAGTCGATAATATAAGACATCTTCGTTTTTACTTTAAAATTCATGTTATCATCTGATATATAATATCTAACATAAAATAAAAAATCTTTCTTACTTATTATGATGATGATGTTAAAAATATTACTGCTATCATTGTCTAGGTCAACTTGGTTAGATATAAATCTTACTCTCTTTTTTTTTTATTTCGATTCGCTATAACAAATGGTCATCTACATACATACGCAGCTGTCTATCACACATATACATACAATCAACACTCATTTTTTCCTCTTCTTTTACTTTTTGCGTCGATGGATGCGGCACTACCATTTCTGTCTTCTCTTCTCTATTCTCTCTTCTCTTTTTTCTTTCTCTCTTTCGACCGATGAGCGCGTGTGGTCACAAGCTAAGTTTAGTTCAAGCAATTTTTATCTAGACTAAAGAAAGAGAGAAAAAAAAAGAAGGACAGCGGTCATGGGGTTCAACTAAATTAACGTGTTTGTGTTTATAGCTGCTAGCACGAACCAACGAGAACAAGGCATTCCGACTAATACTATATCTTTTCTCACCCATCTATCTCTAGACCATTTATCATTTTCTATACGTCTTGCTTTTCCTTTCTTTCTCATCGTCTTGTATTTGATCGATCGATAGATAACAAACGAGAAATAGTAGAAATAATCAACAATAAATTGAAGACTACTGTCATCTGCGGTACTTATTGCTATTATGTACATAAGTAAAATATTAATCAAAAGAAATAATTAAATAAAAATTCAATGATCCATATATATATGCATCGTTATTATGATGTAATTATAACGAAGGGAAAACGTCATTAATATGTTCTAGTTGGGTATTCTATTTTTCTTTTCAGATGTTTTACATGGTTCATTCATATTAGGTTTCATCTTTAGTTTATATGAATGATGTTGATCTTTCATTAGAAAGAGGCATACAATATATATCCATCAATATATTGTCGAATTGATCCAGTGACATATGTCGATTGATAGACATATCAACCTAAAATAAACTTTGTCTATTGTTGTTACTATACTTTTGTTAGTTTAAGATACTCATATTATGTAGGTTTCTTATCAATGCATTTGATATGATTGACAGTTGAAAGTTGTTTTTTTTCTGTTTTACTCAAATTAAAATGATAATTATGAAAAGTTTTCTTTTCCTCATAGAACAATTTAAAATATTCTTCTTTTATTTTGTAATCGATTAGAATATATATATTATATTGTGTGTTTGTATAATTTCAAGTACTATTTGAATAACATATCAGTCAACTTTAAAAAAAATCAAACGTCAGTACTGTCAAGTGATTTAGTATTGTTGTCTAACTGTTATATAATACATTTTTGATGATTATTTAGATGATCTTGAGATAAGTAGAGAAATAAAAAGCAATGCAAGTTCAATTTTTTCATCATATTTTCAATTAAATGTTCATTTTTACGTTCAATTATCAATATCAAAGTATAAGAAAAAGTTAATGTTATATATAATCGATTATATCGAATCAGAAAATGAATATTTAAATGCAATGTTAAATGATTGAATAGCATGTAAAGTGTATTATATCCTCGAGTGAAAGGATTCTCTTAGACTACTTTTTTTTTGTTCTATTGAATCAATTAAATAGACAGTATCAATTTCAAATTGATGAACAAATGTTAAAAATGCAAAACGAATAAATATCACATGTATGTTTGATTTCTCACGATAGAACAGGAATCTAATTTACATGAATGACAATTTTATAGTCATGTTATAGATGTATGTATATGTATATATATAAAAGACCCTTCTCAGTTACATCAATGAGATTACTTACTTGACAAAATAAAGATCAATTTTGAAAGTTTAGTAAAATTATACTTCAGTTGTTCATACTTTACTCATATTTCAAATCTAATTAGAACTCTTTTTCAGACACGTAATCATAAAGCGGATTTGTATTGCTTTGTCTTCATTAGTATGTCATTAAATCTAATTATTTTAGCATTAAATCTACCATATGTAATACTATATATATTCTCAAGGTTATCATTCATTCGATCATTCAATTTTGTATATGATTTAATGCATTCTTTTTTAAAGATATATGATTACATCTTTAACATTTATTAGTGTTGCTAATGCATTAGATATTTGATAAGAGAAAAAAAAATCTTTCTTTTTTGAAAGTTATTATTTCTAAGCGTCTTATTATCCAAATATTATATTTTGTATCTAGAATGCAAAATGTAGTCTGCATTTAATTATGATTGTAATCGATTATATTCTATATTACATAAAATACTTTTGGTAACAAATTGTTAATGAAAAGTTCTTGTAATAAGCAATTCTTTTGTATTTATTCTTTAAGAATAAGTTCATCTTTTGATCATTATGTTGTACCAATAATGTAACCTCTATCACTATGTTTAATGACATCGCTAAAAACTATTATCATCTACATAAAAGAGAAAAATTTGCACTCTCTATCAAAGATAAGCTATAGAATTTAGGTTTCGGTAATATGATTCAAATTCCTCAATTTCTAAAATAATTTATCTATAACATTTGAGTTTTCGTTGATCTACTAGAGACATTAATGTTCGTTGTGATTCACTACGTATAGAAGTATCCGAAAAAAGATTAGATTTTGTATTAAAGTAGATTTCAAGTACGTCGATAACTTATTAATTTACAAATAAAAACCTGGAACATTTCTCTTTCAAATATAAAAAATATCAGATTTAGTCAACAAATGGTGGAGATATACAATTTTCTATTTTGTAGATTATTTCTAGAACACTTTATATATCTATCAAAAGATATAAGGATTTTTGTAATAGGACGATGAAAGAAAATTAAAGTATCTGTTATAAAATATTTTACAAAAAACAACGTAGTGAATATTCTAAAGTACTTTATGTTTTACATAATGCTATCTTGATTAACTGTATTTATGTGATTAATATTTGTCGAGAATTAAGATCTTATATATAAGATTGTATTTTTTTTATTTCATTAAATATTAATGTACTCTAACATCGACCCGCAAAGAAAATTGTATTGTTAAAATTTTACGTTAACGTGTGAAGATATAAAAATCATTATAGATATTCAATTGACATCTTTATAAAAGTAAAGTGAAATCATATTACCTAAAACAAACTCTAAGGTTCGTATAATTTTTCTAATTTATGAACTTTTTTTAGCATTGCATTTTGATTAGTCTTGCGATATGAATAAATATTATATATTCTTATAAACATATTTTAACGAAATTCTCTTTTATAGAAATGAATTAAAATCAGTAGAATCAGAGTTGGGCGGCGTCCGTGACAACACCGAGAAAACCGATCAGTTCAGTATCGCTGACTACTGAAATATTAGAAAAACTAACACTGACGTCACTGAGACTTGTGACGTATTGACCTCACTGAAACGTCATAATTGATTGTTTCATAATACTGCAGGCTATGTACTTGAAGTGAGCAAAAAACGATTATAAACTAGGTACATATATTTTCTTCGTGACAATAAAAGTAAATGCATCTTTCAAAGATCGAGATAAATAAAATAAAAACGTAGTATAGTATAAAATATATATATTAAAGAAAATCATGACGCAGCAATACACAACAATAAATATTTCATTCTCTCTTAAATGCAGTTTAACATTGAATAGAGTCGCCTGCAAGGATGTAATGATACTCCGGTTATGAATTACAGTCAGTGGAAATAAACATGCCAGTGCATTACTGATCAATGATACAAAGGTCATCAGTATTTCAGTGATCAGTGACACTGAATCTATTGGTGCGTAGTGAACGTCGCTGTCAGTGTCACTCAGTGTTCAGTAATTTGACATCGCCCACCCTTAAATCGAATTGATGAACAATCATATTCAATTAATGTTATTTCTGTAGATTCTATTTCTTTTCTTTGGCTACATCCGCTAACTTATATTGAAATATATATGATTTGATTTTCAGATTGATATTAATTAAACTTTATATTTTTTGTATTGTTTTTCTTCTTAATCGTATTAATATAATAGTTGTAGCGCGTCAACAACAAAAATATTCTAATTTTTGTGTTTCATGATTTTGATTTAGCAATCGGGATATTTATAGCCTACGTAAATTTATTTTAGAAATTTCTTTCAATTATGCATCAGATATTTATAATAAATCAATCTATAATATTCCCAAAAGAGTTGTATTCCATGGTATTAGATTTTAAAATTAGATATATAGCCTTTCTCACAAGTATCGAATTCGCTGTTTAGTTGATAAGCAGAAATAATTTATGTATATCTTTTCATCTAAATTCATCCTATTCAATCCTTATCAATAATAAAGAGATAAATGGCAAATTGAATATAGCGAATAATTTATTTTACCATAAGACATAAATGCAGACGACACTTTATATAAGCTTTCATATTATTGTCTGCGGAAGATGCTTATTGGTAAGTAGATTTTTATGTTTATTTAAATGATTAAGAATATATTTCAATATTTTTTTTCTTATTGATTCGAGAAAAATTCTTTCTAAAATTAACATTCAAGTAAATCCACGTCGGGACGTGTATCATTTGTATATGAATTCTAAATAGATATATATCGAAATGATATGATAAAGTTTTTAACACATACAATAGATGGTACAAGAATATTTAAACTAAACGGTTTTTCATTTATAAGTGGTAAGATTTCATCAATTTGTTTCATATTAATATTATCAATATGGTTTCTTAGTGATGATTTGCTATTTTCTCTTGATATTTTATCATCTATACATGATGTATTTCCATCGATCGAACAGTTCGTTTGTTCAATCTCTATTTGTGATATAGGTTGATAACATCGATTTCTTAATCAATAAATAATTAGTTTTTAGAAATTGATACTTAGTATTCAAAAAAAGAAAAGAAACCTGTAACCAAAAAATGTTTTAATACTATCAAATGCCAACCATGTTCGATATTGATAACGGTTCATAGAGTTATTTTTTTCTATATTGACAACTAGTGTAAATGATAATTCAATATAACCCACAGAAAATAATTAGTATTAACACATACGATAGAATAGAATTTATTTCGTTTAAAGAAAAAAATTATATTAATTATAAACGAACTGTCTCCATGGTATTCATATAAAATAAAACAGATCTATTTTAGAGTTTTTATCAAATTAATACATGATATGTCCGTTAATTTCGGATATAATTCTTCTTTTAATATTTTGTAAGTTATTGGGTAGACAGATATAGATGACATTTTTGACAATATAATGTTTTAATCAGCTTCAGATGCTTTTTATCATCATAATGTACATCTGTCATTCTCAAATGTTACGCGTCACTTCGATCTAGAAATAAGTAGCAATAACAAAAAACAAATGTTCTTGTTGCCATCGAAATCCGATAGTATCTTACATCATGCATAAAATTTTTGTAAATCTACAATAATAATCTTAATTGAAATATGACGTGTACCTAACTGAAGATACCCTTCGGCTATTATATTAAAATGAATATGTGGGACACCGTAGCCATCATTATCCTAACTTTGATATATCTTTAGTAGTTTTTATCTAAAAACAATTTGTTTTTCCAGTCTGACATGTGATTCGTAATATGAATACTTCCATTAGCATCAATGCGAGAAACATCTCGACAAAACCAATCTATTTCATTTTTTCCGGTAGAATAAATACTTCTGTAATTGACCTATTTATATTTACAATTTAATTAGCTAAGTAAATGATAATATTTGTTTTTTTTATTATTTGCTGTAAATCAATTTGAACATAAGGAACACCATTTTATATTTTTGAAATCATAACTTAATATTTGCTCGCACAATGTGAGACGATCGTGAACTGATAAATTAGCATAAAATTGATCTTTAGATTTTACTGCATCCGAAATATAATAAGGTTCAAACATATTAGGATTAGTTAACGGACAGACTCGCTGAACATGAGCTTAACTAATAGTTATAGCAATTCAAATAGTGATTACAGCTGACATGTTATTTTACACAAATGCGGATTCTACTATTTAACTTATTTTCTGAAAATTAACTCGGTGACTGAGGACAATATTAAAAGTACGATTAAGTATAAATATATTACTTAGAGAAAAGAACATTATAATCATGAAAAAGAAAAAATTACGTTATAATCATATTGGAATATCATGGTAAGAGAAGTAAACAATAATTATTCTCGGTATATATAAGAGAAATTGATAATTTATCAGACAAAAATAATAGATATTGCGAAGTCTCAACATCCTATTTATGTTGGTAGTAATTTGTAAAGAATTCTGATAAATGCTTATCAGTTAAATGATATGTTGATGTTTCATTAAAGAAAATATAATTTCTATGCTAACCGAAAAAGTACGTAGTATCTTTGTCATGAATCTTTATGCATGAATTTTCAATTAATGTATCATTATTATTTATAATATGACGCGAGAGATTTCTATAAATATTCTGAAAGATTATTAATTATAGGTAGAATACAAAATAATTTAACAGTACCTTGTTAAGATGTACTTTTTAATTCTTTCAATATCGTCATACAATATTTAAGCAGATATTATAATATGCAACATTATATATGACAGCAATCAAAAGAGCTCATCATAGATAATAGAAGCTTTATAATAAAATATAAATAATATCGTAGGAGTCTCTTTTAAAAGAATTAAATTTTACTCTAGTATGAGATGAATAGATCCTGGTTTTTACCAAATAACTTTAAAATGTCCGCATATCCTTCATTGAATGTGTCAAAGAAACGTATTATAAAAAAATTGTTTTTTCGTTAACGCTTGAAGAGAGTTTTTGATATCATCAAAAGTTAAACTAGTATTGTTGTTGCTAAAACTAAAATTGCGGAAATATTGAAGCGAAGATAATTATATGAAAGGCACGTTAAACAAAAAAAAAAGTTATTTTCTCTTTTTTTCCGATTAAGTCTTGCGTTGTGTTGTTTTCATTATCATGCCCACGCTTTAATAACTATTTGTATAAGTATATAGTTATATTATTTTATATAAAATTGATTAGTTTCATTTCATTGTATGATTGAGCTTTTTTCCAATCAAGTTTTACTTACCACCAGAGATTTACATTTGTTCAGACTATATTGTTTTTCCTATCATTATCATTAAACGTTATATAATAAGAAGAGAAAAACATGTAGCAAATAATCTTTGTTTGTTTACTGTAAATTTCTTCGTTCTATTCAATGAATTTATGTGTACTTTACATCATGTCAAAACTAATGTTGACTTTTACATTATACACAACAGGTTCAAAGGTAAAAACCCATTAAATAGACATCATTGTCAATATTTCGCTTGTTTTCCGATTAATACAAATATAAAAAGGAAACTGACAATTCAGTAAGGGGGCGGTAGTCATGATGAAAAATCTGCACTTAAGGCATGCTCTAGATAATATGATCTCTTTTTAACACTCTATAGTGAGGAAAAAAAGAACGAATCGCCAGGGGGTGGCGATCACCGAATTGCTAACTGTTGCTCTCCCCATTATAACAATTGTGCACACACTTATATATACATTTGAATAAAAAAGTGTACTTAAATAAAACATGATTTTATTCATTGAATCTCATTTTTCACACATCCTAAAATGTAATATTCGTCAATTGCAGTACTATTTGATGCAGAAAATTTATCGATTATCTTAAGTTTTTATTGTATTGTATGTATCATTATTAACGCTATTATATATGTTGCTGTTACTTATGGTCTACAGCGGTATTTAAAAAAGACTAAAATTTCCGGTCACAGCGTTCATGATAAAGCAGACAGAGCATCACGTACTAGAAGTCGAACAGGTCCTAACTTAAGAACTATATTCTAAATTAAGACCATAATAATTTGCCTACAAAACAAAAAATTGACATATATATACCATTGTATTTGTTTTTCTTTCTATCGATTGGCTTGTACCAAGTTTTTCAAATAACGACTAATACTATTTTCATTAGTATCAATTGATTAGCTCACTCGAAAATATCAAATTATATGATGTATTCAAACAAAAATCTAAAAATCTCGTTGTATATACGAATATAAAATGGTTAAGAAAGAAGAATGAAAAACAACTAAAGCCATCTTTGGTTGACTGATAACGAGATGAGACGAGCGGAGCTATTTTCTTCATGCTATATTAAAGACTAATTCACATTGTGCACAATCATAATCTATTTTCTTTGCAATGACTATATTACTTAAATTCGAAAACTGTTAAAAGAAGATATATAATCGATTTCTAAGTAGAGAAGAAAAAAAGGCAGCAGCAACAAAATATACGCTTTGTAGTCTAGTTATTTCCTGTATTATAAGCAAAATATTCAATTCAATATTATTAAGTATATTGAGTTTTAAGTTTATATGTGAATAGTATATTAAGTAAACATAATAAATAAGTAAGAATGAACAAATATATGTGAATATGATCCTTTTTATACGACTTAAATACCTAGAAAGAAAACATGCCGTGTATTTAAAATGATTGTAATAAAAGAATAGGAATTTAAGTATTATTTTTCTTTTGTTTTTGATTACATTAATCAGAATAAACATATGTCTGACATTCTTAGATAATATTTCCGAAATATATGATATTTATTTAAAAAAAAATGTTAGCATTCCTTTTTTCATTGTCGCATAATATGGCATTGTATACTATTTTTCTTTTCTTTCTCTATTTTTTTCCTCTGTTCCACATATGTCAAAACAGACAACATCGATAGAACTCGCGGTTGAAAGAAGGAGGAAATCAGAAGAGAGACACAATTATAAAGAAATATAGAATAGCTTTTCTCGTATATTAGAGATCTTTTCATTTTGTCCTGTTAGCTAATAGAGATGCATGTTAACTAATCGTTAGATTATTGGTCAGATATAAAAAATATTTAAAGATAATAAATTTTCTATTCATCAACTATTTTCTAGTTAAAAATCTTTTGAGCGTTCTTCAATCCGTTTTTATACGCTGTTATTTTTGTCATATCATAGACGTCTCTATACCATATGTGTTTTTCTTATCTATTCTATCGAACTGTTTGATGAGAAAAAATGCACTTGTTGGTACATAAAATCATGGAATAGCTGATAATATAATGTTAGTCTTTACCTGGGAGCGTCGTAATATATTGAGATTTGATCAAGAAAAAGAAACACGCAATGCACATTTATAATCTATTTCCACGTTTAGTGTTCTTTTTCTCCTGTCTTTAATATTTTACTCCATGGATTCTTCTTTTTTTATCTAGTATTGCCACAACCGTTTTCGTTTTTTTTAATCTTATCAATCATACCCTAGTATTTTAATTAAAGTAACTATCTCCGTTAATTTCACCAGATCAACTTTTTCGTGATATGAATAATATGACCATTTATTTTTATTAATTTTCTTTTTTTATTTATATCTTTGTTAACTGTTATTATATTTAAAAGCAACTTGAAATGAGACAGAATGTTCTATACTATTTTTATTCTTTCTATTAAACAATTTTCTCAAACAACAACAACGCCATATATAAATGTAAATTCTATTAAAAAAGGATGTTTATTTATTTTCTTACCATTTCCTCTTTTATGTATTTTAATGTAGAGAAAGAGAGAGAAATCTAAGTTTTTATTTAATATTTGAAGAAGAATTAAATATAGATTTATCTTTATTCTAGATTACATTATAGAAAATCATGTTTTAAAACAAAAATGGTTTTTTCTGATTACAACTCAGACTATATGAATATGGCTACAAACTTAGGTAAAATAGTTTCAGGAAGCGATGAAAGTTCATTATCAGTCTATGATCATTTAGATGATAATACAAAAAATAATATGACTAGTAATACTGGAGATTCACAGCAGTTTGCAGCGATGCTTAAACAATTATATTCTTCAATGTCTGATAATCAATCAAGTTATAATTTCCCATCAAGATCAAGTTTATCATCATCATCAATTAGAAAATTTCCAGCATCATCAAATGATTTGAACTCTTATATTCTTTCAATTGTATCTCATTGGTTTGTTCTTCTTGTTAATCCTATTGTGGTAAATATTTGATATTTTTATAAATTTTTTTCCTAAAGTTTTTTATTTAGATTTTATTTGGTGTTATTGGTAATCTTCTAGCTACATATATTTTAATTAAGGGTAATATTGCTAAGTTACCTGTTTCTTTTTATACAATTATGCTCAATATATCGGATACACTTAATTTATTAATACCAGTATTTATATTTTGGCTTGATAATTTATTTAATCGAACACCTGAACGTGTTTATTTTCGGGATAGATCAAATTTTTTATGGTTTGCTTATATTTTTGAAAATATTTTCTTCTCATTTTATCTGATTTCTCTTTTAAAGTAAAGTATTGATGTGTCCTGATCAATTATTTGCTGCACTAAGTGCATGGTATATGTGTGCTATATCATTTAATCGCTGGTGTTCAGTATGTCGTCCATCAACTTATTTTTTTCGTACAACAGCGAGTGTGTCGAAAGCATCTTCATCTGGTAGTAATGTTGTGAATAATAAAATTAATAATGGACAAAAAAAAGATTTATTTGGAACACCTGCTTCATCATCATCTTGGTTTCCTTTTAATTATTGTTGCTGTATGATGCGTAATATTAAATATCGTCAACATCTACGAGCTTTTCGTAGTATTGGTATTATTACATTAATAGGCATATTATGTTGTCTCTATCCAATATTTATGCATGAACTTCGACCTGTAATGGCAATAAAACCACATGATTTTGATGTACTAGAGACAGATAGTAATGATCGTGACCATTCTAAGCAATGGACACGTTGTTATTATAGCACAAAACATGAATATGCGTATGATATTATAGGAATAATTCTAACAAGTTTTTTACATATATTACCTTTAACGTCTGTTGCTGTAATGAATATAATGATTATTGTACGATTAAGAAAACGACAACGACTTATGGCTGTTTCAACAAATAGTGCACGATCTGTATTATTAAATAAAAAGAAAAAGAAAGCATCATTGAAAGAATTACAAAAACATTTTACATATAAATTAAATTCTTCATCAATCAAAGAAATGAAACAAACTAATATGATAATATCTCCATCTACACCATCATTAGTAATAACTCATAAAGATCAAGCAACATTAACTGATTCACCAGCTAATTCTATTAAATCAAAAACTACTCAAGTTTCTTTAGGATCATCTGGTAATGCTCCAAGAAGACATCAATCAAGAGATCGAACTATTACAATTATGCTTGTTAGTGTAGCATTATCTTATATAATATTAACTCTACCTTATCGATTATTTTGGTCTTATAATGTTTATATAAAACGTATGTATCCTGAAAAATTAAAATCGGAAGCTTATTTATCAAGAATGCATTATATTGATCATGTACTTCGTACAATACGTAATATACATTATGGTACAAATTTTATTTTCTTTATATTTCTTTCGAAGCCATTTCGTCGGAAATTTCGACAATTATTCATTGACAGATTTCGGCATAATAAAACAGATCAATTTGACGATCAAAGTATGAATACGTTTACGACTAATAATTATAATCCTAATAAAATCAATAATGTTCAAAACATTCCAGCAATATTAGAGCTAATCAATGAAAAGAATCATAAACAAAATCATGTTATTAAAACAGAACGTTCAACAAGAACGAGTAATCATGAAACACCTAGTTTAATTGATGATGCTCGTATACAAGAAGATGAATTGTACTCGATTATTGAACTTGAACTTGAACGGAATGAACTGCTGGATGAACTAAAATAATAAATAATGGGAACAAAAGAATATTATTATGGTTATTATCTGCACATCAAAAACATTTTTCTTCTATCAAATTAATTATAAAAAGATTTACATTTGAAGTAAAAGTCCTTTATCTTATGTATATAGCACGCAATGTTCTTATGCTTTTATGAAAGATTTTTTTCAATAAGATTGTTAAATATTATTAAAAAGCTGTCATTTATGTTTTATAAAAGAAATAACATTTTACTTGATGAAATAGTAATACATTTCTATTGATTATTAAAAAAAACATTAGTAGAACTAAATTATAAATAATAGAAGAGCATTTTAATTTATGAAAGAAATAACTACTTTCATATGAGAATACATATATATATATAACTAATACAATGGCAAACAAAAGAGAAGCTTGAAAAAAAGTATGCATTAAATAATTGAATCAATTTCTTCAAAATCATGCACACACATTCAATTTGAAGGGTATTATTAAGTGCGATGTTCATGCGGAAAGCAAACAAATATGACATTGTTCGTGACCGTTTAGCAATTTATATGAATCACGAAGAAAATCCAAAGTTTTTGATTTCACATGAAAAACTTCATTAAATAGTTCGTGTTTATCTATTTATTTGAAGTTATAAACGGAAATTAACTTGATCAATAGTTTGAAAGAAAGTTTGTTACCTTGATTCTTGTCTAATGAGAATAATAATATTACTTTATAAGTTATACCGGAAATTATAACAAAATTTGTTTATATTTTAGATTCTTCAAGGTATTTTCTTATCAAAGAAAATTTATGTATTGTTTATTTAGATCAATATAATCAAGTTAAGAAATATGTTAGCTTATAATGCACTCACAAATAACCACATATACAGATATAAATAATAATAATGACAAAAATATACTGATAGACACACAAAACCCTAGTTTTTTTGGCATATTGTCATTAACATAGGATGTATCACGAATAAAAATACTTTTCTAAAACAATAACTATATAAAAGAACTGGATGATATACACAAAAGAGAACATGTCTAATAATTGCTCATTAGATTTACTCAATGAATAGTTTTATACAATTTGAGAATTTTTTTGATAAAATAGGGCTCAAGAGGACACTTATTTTGATGAATCCTTTTATCTACAGGAAAAAAGGTATATTTATGTTAGACATTAAGAAGTTTATTAATAGCTACTAGGAATTCTATTTATAAGTATTCATCTTAGATCGATAAAATAAAATACTAAATGAACTATCCTATGAAAAATTATCGTTCATAGTAATATTGAGAATATTTTAACATAAAAATTTGATATCTATTCTATATGATACTGGACATAAGAAAAATCGTTTAGTACAAAAAAAACAATTTGCCACCTGATGAATAAACATATTTAAACTATATAGAAGTTTGCAAGTTCTTTTTTTTAACTTATAACGCTCTGAAGCACTGTTGAGTACAGTTTAGTTTAAGGACACAAATAATTTCAATAAGTACATTCATAACGTCAATTGAACGAGAAGATAATTACTATTATCAGATGTGAATCAGACACTGGTAATTACTTCTAGATATATTTATGAATTCATCTTTTACGAATGTCATAAAAAAGAACTTGCAATACATTCTTAATCACCAATAGGAATAAAGATGAAGCAATTAGTTTACGCATTTTTTTAATTTTAAAGTGAATTTTTAGAAAAAAAGACATGCTTCTTTGTCTCAAAAACAGTATCTGTAAAGTATATAATGTATGACTACTTCTTCAAAACATATATTAAAAGTTTTGTCTATAGAATATCATTGAATGATATGAACGAGTGCAAAGCATTTATATAATGGAATTTCTTTAGATTTTTTTAAAACCGCTACTTACATTGGTTTTTCATTCAGAAAGTAAAGCTTTAAATCACTTTTATTCAGAAAAGCATACGTTCCCAATTTAGAATCTTCTAATGAATTGTATTGCATTGCTACAGAAAGCCGTTCTACAACAAACATCTTCGATTGTGCACTAGTACTTTGATGTTTTTTTCTGTACTGAATTAAAGTCTGAAAAGCAGATTTATGACATTGTTTATAGAATCATAATCAGGTTAATTTTCTTTTAACATTAGATTTATGACCGACATTCAGAACGTAGAAATGAATTATACTTTATAACAAACTATACTTTTATTGATAGCTATAATAACAAGTTTTAATAAAAAATCTCATGAATCGTTATCTATTTACAACCATCAGTATAATTCTCATGCTGTCAAAAGAGAATCGATATATTAAAACGACTTTACCTTGTCATCCTATTGATTGTATTTAATTAAAGTAATAAATTTGATCAAATTGATGTGATCAAGGTTTGACCAATTCAGCTGTCATTGTCAAGAAATACGATGGTGATTGATCTAAGAAAAAAAAGATGTATATGTATGTTTTAGAGAATGAGTATATGAAGACAATCTGTTTGAGTCTCTCAATCAGAAATCTTATAAATACCTTTATTATGGATATAATTACGGTTTTTAAATGGTGTTTACACGAATCATCCGGCTTCATCATAATGCTTCTATCATTGTTTCAGTTCAATTGTGAGCGTGTAGTCCTATCTGAAGATCGGATTACTCTAGATGTCTAACTCGAAAGATGACATGAAGACGAATGATGATGGATGGTGATGATTTATTGCAAAGAAATTAGGACTATATATATACTGTACGAACAGATATGAAGCTAAGCAACGACTGGACATCATCACAAAGAGAAACTGATGCAATAAGAGAGATGATGAAATGAAAGGTGATGAAAGGTGATGAGAACAAAAGGAAAAGATAAGTTTGAATGAAGAGAGGATGATGTAATATCACCCTCGTACATTAATTTTTGATTTTTATTAAAATAATGAAAATCGATATTTTCGAGAAAAAAACGCGCATTTATTACGAGACAAAACTTGACTTCTTTTGTTTGATATTTTCTTTATTTTTTAATCTTATATTTTCGAATATTCTAAAAATATGAACTAAATGATAACAACAAAAGCAGATAGACTTTTAAGAAGTTTAATCGATGCAGGCTTATCATTAACAGATTTTACTATATTAGCAATAAAAGTTATTCGTATTCAACGTGATTTTAAAACAGATAATGACAGTCGACGTGAACGAGATCGTTTACGTCAACAAGATAAATTACGTGAACAATATCAATTTGAAGAACAATTAAAAGAAGATGAACAACGTAGATTGAAAGGACTGGCAAAATTACGTGAACTAGGCTATGTCACTGGTGATGATGCATATGAAATAGGAAATAATAAAACAATTGATAGTCTTGATCAAAATCCTACAAATAATACTGGAAATAAAGATAATAAAATAAGACCAAATCAATTATTATCATATTCAAAAGAAATGAATGATATGACACAAAAGCAACGTAGTTGTTGCTTAACATTTAATATTGATTATGATCTTCGACTTAATCAAAAAACACTTGAAAGTGCTTGTAGAAGAGCTAAACGAAATATCTATGAGGTATTTTAGCAAGCTAAAAAATCCAGAGGAATGATTTTGAAAAATATTTTTCTTATCAATAGCTTCGAGCTGATCGTTTTAATCGTCCTGAATATCGATCTGTTTTATCTGTCGAAACAGTAACACTTCATAATAAATTAAAAGAAATTACACGTGAAATAAATAGAATTTTTCTTGATGAAAATTTTCAACAAGATAAAAGACATTTACAAGAATTATCAACATATATTAATCAATTTGAAGGTGATATCGATTTATTAATGTGTCAAATGCAATATGAACCAAAAGTAAAAGAAACAATTTTATTTTCTCCAGTTACAACTGATATACTTGATCGAATGAATCTTATACTTTATTCTGTACGTACATTAGCTAATAAAATTTCAACTGGTGATTATCTAAATGAACAAAATGAAAATAATAATGATGATATTAATAATTTATCTAATATTCCAACTAAAGTCTCATATATAATAAAAATAAAAACAAATAATGAAAAAAGTTCATCATTATCCGATGAAACTAATGTAACAATTAGATTATATGGTACATATAATAAATCGTCTGATATACATCTTACGGAGTCTACTCATAAAGCGAAATGGCAATCAGGACAAATTGATTTATTTAGTATTCAATTAAATTATTTAGGTGATATTTATGCTGTTGAAATTTGGCATAATAGTGATTATTCATCATGGAAAGTTGATTGGATTGAAATAATTGATGATGCTGCAAATATTTATCGTTTTCCTCTCAATCGTTTATTAGATAAATATTCTGATGAAAAAAAAACTCGTTTTATTATTCAACGAGATATTGGTCCTGTTAATCGTTTACCAACAAAACCTTTACAAGAAAACAAACCATATAAACAATTAGGTTTTTCAACATATAAAGTTCAAGTTAAAACAGGCAAACAGCCAAATAAAGTTACTGATTCATCCATATTTATAGAACTCAAAGGTGAAAATGGAAATTTTATAGGTAAAAATCAATTTCTCGGAATAAAATAAATGGTATCTAAATGTTCTTTTTAAGATAATTTATGTAGTGCAAATTCAGCTTTTAATAGTTCTGTATTTGAACCTGATCAATTAGATACATTTTATCTCATTTGGCCGTATTTAGCAAAATTAAATTCTTTACATTTATTTGTTCAATCTGATGGTACTCAACCATCATGGTTTTGTGAATATATAAATGTCGAAGATAGTCAAACAGGCGATCGATATAAGTAAAGAAAACATCATTTTTTTTGAAGCATGTATACTTAGAAATATTTTGTAGATTTATTGTTAATCAATTATTTGATGGTGCAAATACGGATGATCCAAATTCGAAACAACAATTAACTGTTTATCCAGAAAATACAAGTAAACACCTTCTTTTTTTTCTTTTATTAAAGTTAAACTTCTATATTCTTAGATCAAAAAGATAGTAAAGATCGTATGTAATCTACATGAAAAGAAAATCCTATTGATTTGTTTTTGTAGAAAACGATAAACCTAGTTATTTATTAAAACTAAAAACGGGTGACAACGGTTTATCAGATACATCAACATCATCATCATCGATTAATATTATATTAAAAGGTGATAAAGGAAAATCTGAACCGTATATACTCCAATCATCAGATAATAAAAGAAAATTATTTCAAAATAATCAAACAGATGAATTTTTACTTCCATCAAAATATTATGTCGGCCCAATAAAAACTCTACAAATATCAGCAAATGGTGAAATTGAACCATGGTTTATAGAGACAATTATTATCCGAGATATTGCACATGGACAAGTACAGATGATACATGTTTCTTGCTATTAAATTATAAATGGTTTCTATTTCTAGAATTATATCTTTCCAATTTATAAATGGATTAATACACAAGACAAAACAAATACTTTAACTCTTCAACCAATTAATGGTTTGATGATTTGTTTTAGAATAAATTACTTATAGAAAAATATTTCTAGAACAAAAACCAGATTATATAGTTTATACTCGAACACTAGCAAGTGAATTATTAGGGCCTGATCGAAGTATAAAATTACTTCTTCGAGGAAAAAATGGCAAACATGATATTGAATTAAATAGTCCGATAACAATGTATAATACATTTCAACCTGGACGTAAAGATGAATATTATATTGAAAATATGAAATCATTAGGAGATTTACAATCAATTGAAATTGATATAACACATCCAAATATAAAAAAACTTGGACTTGATTATATAGAAATCAAAGATATATCAATTAATAATTCATACAGGTAAATTTCCAGTAAAAAGCACGATGCGTTCATTCTTAGTACTAGCTATGATATTAATTTCTATTTTGTTTCTCAAAATTCTATCTATACTTCGGCGTTATTCTTACACGTTTAGGTCACAATGGAAATGTATTATTTGTATTTTCTTATTATTTAGATTTAATATTAATCATATGCTCGATTCAAAAACTCCAAAAATGACTGCAAAAGCTGAGCTTATTTCTCGACGTAAAATATTAATCAATAGAAAAAAGTTTATACTAAATTTTAATTTCTTCTGTATAGCTATTAAAAATTCATCATCCTCAAAAATTAGTCGTAGTCAACTTTCATTACCTAATACTACTAATAAGATCAATTTTGGTAAAATACGAAAATTTTTAAAAATTATCATAAATTTCATTCATAGATCAATTAACAACAAATCCACCACAAGGAGCTAAACGACCAAACAGTAACTATAAAGTTTTAACACATTAGAAAGCACTTCTAAAGATGACGATGCGAAAATTAAAATAACTGATGAGAATGATTCTAGTTCTTATTTCATTGTACACAAAGAGAAACTTTCCCTTACATCTTGATAAGTATTGATTTTAAACGATAAAATTACATAAAAAGAGAAGAAATAATGAGTATTAGTCGGATATTATATTCAGTGGTATTTTAAAAAAAAACTATGATGTTGTTTCTCTTGCTAGATGACGATTATAAACGTTTGATAAAAACTGATAATTCGAATTTAATAAATACCAATGGTAACATTGAATTACAAATGTATGAAAATAACGATACATTACAAAAGATTCATCCTAATAAACGCAATACAAGTTCGAAGAATTTATCAGAAAAAATAAATCAAAATAATTTATCTCTAGATATATCTAATACTGAAAATGTATGTAGAAATAAGTCATAATGATAAATATACATTTGTTTCAAGTTTAGTTAAAATCAACAACTTCATTTAATGATGAAAAAATAAAAAATCAAGTAAATTAAATCAAAAGAAAATATTTACAAATCTTTTTTCTAATCTTCAGTGGTCAATATCAACAGTTGAAAATGCTAAAGAAGATTCTCAGAACGTTTCTGGAATTAGTTTAAATAAAAATGACTATTCGGAGAATTCAGTGAGTATTAAATTTTATTTTTAGCAAATGTAATTTTCTTCATATTAAGAAATCGATATCCGAATATGATAATTCTGAGAAAGATATTTTTAAAATAACAATAAAAACAATTGACAAACAATTCCGAGATAAAAATACTAAACTTCAAATAGAATTAATCGACGAAAATAAACAATCTGAAATAATGATATTTAATCAAACCAATAATAACATTGAGCTATTACAAAAGGATAAAATTGATACATTTACTATCGATACAACAAAAGATCTTGGAAAAGTTCGTAATCGAATTTTTGTAAAACATAAAAAACAAAAATAATTTTTAGTTAAAAAACATTAAACTTTCTTTAATTGGATCAAAATTACAAAAAGATTTTTATCAACCAGAATTCATTGAAATATTTCATCCAAAAAGCAATAATACCTATCGGTTTGTTGGATCAACATATAATTAATTCTTTTTCATTTATTTATTTTGTATCTAGCATTAAATATACCAAAGATGATTTTCTTAATTCCGATAAAAATCGATTAGAACTACTGAAATCAATCAAACTTCTCTCAAACACAAATATCCGTGAAACCACTTTAATACCAAACAAGAAATTAATAGATGCAGTCTATTCTAAACATGATGATGAAGATTTATCTTTATTAAACAATATAACAACTTCATCTCATTCGAAAGAAAATAATTCTCTATCGGAAAGATTAACAAATAGTTCAAGTAGACAAATTCGTCCCGGTGATCGAGTTAAAAATAATAGTAAACGACAATTAATTGATCCTCGTTCAAAATCATCGTTATATGAAGCAAATTGGTATCGTCGATCAATTGAAACAAATAAAGATCATCGAAATGATGTTAAACAAATGCAATTAACTAAGGATAAACGAATTTCACAAACAAAATTCGATCAACGACAAGCACATATAATAAAAAATAGATCTCGATAATTGAATAATTCTCTATTTATATACAGTTTATAATTAAGAAAGGTCAGAGATAAGTTTAATTCGTTCTTTTATTCAAAAAAAATGTTTCTATTAATTATAAAATAAACAATTTTTTTCGAATTTATATTCACCAATAAATAATTCCAAATCATTTCAATAAAGGATAATTTGATGTATTTCATCGTATTATAAATAAAAACTTAAACTCATCAATTAATTAATTTGATTTTTATTATTTTTGATACAAAAAAATTCATTTTTCGATTGAAAAATAATGGATTAATTATTGGTTAATTTTGTCATTTTCAAAATTAATTTTGTTTATTTTATGTCATCAGATTGGTTGAGATATCAACAAATTTCTTTTCTTATTCAAATTCTATACATTGCCGTTTCGTTGAATCTAAAATAAGAATTTAAAAAAAAAATTATTCATAAGAGTTTTATGTTACTGTTATCATCAGAATCAGAATAAGGACGTTTTGACAATGAAAACATTAATTGAGGGTTAGTTGATTGTTCAAACCATTTAGTTAGTTGTCCAAATGACATTAAACGTAAACCAGTCTAAATACAGAAATTTCAAATGAGTAAGATCGGCATGTTTTTTATACACATAAGCATTACAAAGGCTCATATAGTGAGAAAAATTTGAGAAGTTATTTTGAAGAAAATGAAAGCTTTTATTCTTGTCAATACATATATCAACTAGATTATAAAATTTTGTCTTTTACTATTAAAATTTATTCTCAAATTGATACCTATAAGAAAAAATAATTCTCCTCAATTGAATTTGTAATATATTTGATAGTATACTTTCGTATATAAATTGATTTTCTCTATATTTTTAAATTCGAAAATGTATTTATAAGTTTTCTATTATTTATTTACTTGAGCTTCCTGAGTTACATCATTTCGTTGTTGATTTGTTAGTTCTTCAAAAATATCTTTTGTTGAATCTTTTTGCCAAGGTATACATAAACTGGGGCTATCTAAATACACATATATATTAATGTAAGTTATTACTAATCATATGTAATTGAAACTAACTTAATAAACTTAAACCACTGGAGAGATATTCCAAAACTCGACGGAATGCATTACTAGCAGATACATTTTGTGATAAAGCATATTCAATAAGAATTTCAATAATCTATTATATGAAAATGTTATTTAAAAGTAAAAATGAATATAAATATAGATACTTCAGAAGATAATGAATGCCAATTCATTGAAATACTTGTTTTATATCGTAAACAACGGATTAATGCTGATGAATGTTGACGAATACTGACTTGATTCTAAGAAATCAAAAAGAAAATGATTGATCCATATGAAAAAAATAAAGTTTTTACTTGAAACCATCGTGCTGAATGAATTGAATATAAAGCATTTAAACAATTTAGTTTTGATAAAAATTCTTCAGATTTATCTAGAACAAAAATCATCAAATTTTCTAAATAAATATTCATAGAACATTTTTACCTTCCGATTTTTCTTGTTGAATAGATGGTGAAGTGAATAAAATTGAAATATACATAATTCCTTCTTCTGTATTTGCTTGTAATTCTATAGTTTCTTTATCAGCTTGATAATCAATTTGAATTTGATTTTTCCAATTACTCTATTTTATTCAAAAGAAAATAAAATTCTAATTAAATAAAGCAATACAAAAATTATTATTTTACATCGAAATTGTCAGATAATATATTTGCAATAGTTTGTAATAAATTTTTTGTCGGCCATTCTGCACAAATAACAACAATATGAAATAAACGATCTGTTTTTATCATTAAACTTTTTCCAAGTAAACCAATTCGTGATACACCCATTAAAGATGATTGATTTCTAAAAGAAAAACAAAGAACAAGTAAAATTTAATCTTATGAAAATATTCGGACAGCCCGAATTGTACAGTACCAACTTTCACAAGTGGTTTTTGACAATTTTATTAATCAGCAAAGTTCAGATGATGAATGATCAATCATTTATTATTGTAACATAGTAGTTAACAGTGGAGTGAATATGAGTGTGAACTTTTATGATTTTAAGATATCTTAAGATCACAAAAGTTCACACTCACATTCATTAGACTGTTGGCTACTATGTTATAATAATAAATGATTGATCATTCAACATCTGAATTTTACTGATTAATAAAATTGTCAAAAGTCACTTGTGAAAATTGGTACTGCAAAATTCGCATTTCCAAAATATTCAAACTAACGTTGATGTTTCGGATGTAGAAGGATTTTCATCGATTGATGATTTTGTGAATGCTTGTAGTTGTTCAGAACAAGATTTTAAAGCTGATTCAACAGCACTAACAAATTGTTCGACAATATTAAGCTAAAATATATTAAAACTTTTAAAATACTGTAAAATTAATTGATTTATAAATAATATATCGGTCAAATTTATATGACACTTTCAATATTATTATAAAATCGCTTACAAAATTAGGTGATGGTACAATTTGTTTATGTAACATCATTAAAAATTTTGTATCATCATCATTTTCTTCTTGATAATTATTGTCCATGTTTGTATATTCAATATTATTGATAGTTTCATTTGATGAAATATTATTCATTTGTTTTGGTTTAGAATTTGATAATTTAGTATTTGAGCTATTATTATCAACTACAAAATTTGGATTGACTTTTTTCTATAGAAAAATTTATAAAGATAATGAAAAATAAAAATTAATTTATTTGATTTACTTTATATGAGAGTCGATGTCGTTTTCCTTTTAAATGCATATCTTTTCCTTTCGTATCATTAAATGTACATTCACATAATTTACAATGATAAAGTACTGGTTTATTTGAAGCATCATATGTTGTTTCAATATATTCTTCACCTATTGGTTTATTACTATTTTCAAGTAAACGAGATAAAGTTATTTGTTGATCATCATTTATTAATGTTTGAGATCCATTTATTGATGATTGTGAAATAGTAGTTGATTGAGATGTAGGATTTAAGATTTTTGGTTCTATTGATGGTATTGTTTTGCCTAGTTTACGATGTAATCTCATTGCCTTTAAAATAATAATATAAAGCTAATAGAATTAATTTATAAATCTTACTTTTTCATGTTTACTTCCATCTAAATGAGCTTTATAAGCATCTGAACTTGTACATGTTATATCACATAATTCACATCGAAGTATATTAACACCTGTTTTCGAACTTAGATTAACAGATGTTTGTTGATTTTGTGCAACAAGTTCTTTTCTTTTATGTTTAGATCCATTTAAATGTGCTTGATATGTTGCATGACCACCACATGCTATACGGCATGTTTCACAATAGTACATACGTGTCGGATTAGTAGCACCGGAAAAATTCTTAACTGAACGACGAGTTGACGATGAATGAGATTTAGATGCAGGCATGTGTACTTGAGAAGTATTTATAACAGATGATTCATTTGGATTAGTAAAAGCAGCAAGAGTCTCAGCAGCTGATCGAATAATATGATCGTAACCTAAAATGATATGTCATTAAAAGAATTATGAAAATTTTGATATTTTTTTCATATTACTATTATATTGTGATGGATTCGCTATAGAAGATGGAGCATACATTTGATAAGGATTATATGGAGGTATTGGTTGCTAAATAGAAATTCTTTTCAATATTCAAATATGTTTTATCATCTCTGGGATAGTTGCCAATTAGAATATAACAACTTTGTCTGAAATTAGTCAAAATAATTCTTTATAGGAGTAAACTGTCAAGAGACAAGTAATATTTTTGGTAAACTATATTATCTCATTTATTCGTATGAATGATATGATTATTTGTAAAATGCTCTTCGTAATCTTATCAGTAGTTATTATAACATATTCAAAGTGAATAATTTACATGACAAACTATAATGATTTATTGTTCTTTTCATTGACTATTCACTTGATTATTGATATACTACTTTTTTTTAGTGAATAGATAGATTGATATAACCTTACCTGTGAAAAAGAGCTCGGATAACCTTGTCCATAGAAAGACTGTTGTTGCTGTTGTGCCATCTGAGGATAAGTAATACCACTAAAATAGAAAAATGCAATAGAATATCAATTGACAAAACTTATTATTTATCATACTTATACATTGAGTAATTCATTCCATTTGTTGCCATATTGAAAAATATATTTTATTTTCTTAAAATAAAAAAAAAGAACTAGCTCTCTGTCTCTCTAGGTACTGATGTATATCATCCAATCATTTATATTTTGACATCGAGCACCATCTTTAGTTTGATCTATTTCATAATAGAATAGCAAAAAAAAATATTTTGACGATTGAGTTTTTCTTTATCATATGTCTCACAATATGACTAAGTTGGAAAGAATGAAATTTCGTTTATTATCGTAGTTACAAACATATTTTATTTTTCTTATATATTTTTAGAACTTAAAATAATTTTATATTCTAGCAGCTTATGTTGCTAATGAAGAAATAAGAATAATTTTATATTAAAATCTTTCTTAATCTATGTACGCTAGAAAACTATTATCAACTCGATTGATTCGTTATGAATTCGGTAGATAAAATTTTATTTTACATAATCAATAAATTAATTAATAATTATTTTTTGTTAACAGATGCATTTATTAATAGTTCCTATTATTATTCTCCACAATCACATGATTGTCTAATTCCTACGTATCAACAATTGCGTCCATATTCATTGTCAAATGCTTTATTAACACGTTCGGGTAATAATTCATTTACAATACGGGATATTGGACAAAATTCACGAGGTAATTATAAATAATAAAATAATATATTCAGAAAGAAAAATTTCGATTTTTCAAGTTTTTAATATACGAAACTATGGATTAGTATCCAGAGGTATTTTTTCTTCCTTCGATTTTTTTTCTTGCAATCTTAAGTTTGATTTATTAAAAATAAAATTAGATTTGATGATTTTTTAGGCAGTGGTGGTGGTGGTGATGGTTCGGGTAAAATAACTTTTCTTTGCCCCAAATGTGGTGATGTATGTACCCATGTTGAAAGTCTTGTTTGTAAGTTATTATGTTTTTAATGACATATATATATTATAAATCTGAATATTATTTATTAGCTGCAACAAGATTTGTTAAATGTGAAAAATGCAGCCATTTTTTTGTTGTTTTATCTGAAAATGAAGGATCTAAGAAGGTCAAAGAAGATAAAAATAAAAAACGACAACCACCACCATCACCAAAAAAAGTATTTTCTATACATTATTTTTTATTATTAATTATCATATCAAAAAAATTATTTTCTTTAAGATTTATGAATTTCTCAATAAATATATTATTGGTCAAGATCATGCAAAAAAAGTCATGTCTGTTGCTGTTTATAATCATTATAAACGTTTGCATAATAATATATCAATCAATAAATCTTCGTCACCCAATACAAATACTAATACAACAAATAAACAACAACAAGAAAATCGAGGTATGGGCAAAAGAATTTTGCTAGTTGTTTGTTTTTTGTTTTGCTGGTTTTATTTTAAATGTTGGCATACCGTTTTATACTGTTCCAATGGATGTATCAAATAATAACAACAATGTAGGTTCAACAACAACAACAACGACAATGTCTCCTAATAATGAAGATACTAAACAAGGAAGTGATATTATTCATAAAGAACATTATGATCTTAAACTTGAAAAAAGTAATATTCTTATGCTTGGTCCAACTGGTTCAGGTAAAACACTTCTTGCTCAAACAATTGCGAAATGTCTTGATGTACCATTTGCTATTTGTGATTGTACAAGTTTAACACAAGCTGGTAGAAAAGAAAATATATTTATAAAAAACATTAATTTTTCTTTTTCTTTTTAAGGTTACGTTGGAGAAGATGTCGAAACAGTTATTGCAAAATTACTTCAAGATGCAAATTATAATGTTGAACGATGTCAACAAGGTTCGAAGATAAATGACGAATCTCTTTAAAAAAATTTGTTTTTTAAGGTATTATATTTCTGGATGAAGTTGATAAAATTGGTAGTGTACCAGGTATTCATCAACTTCGTGATGTTGGTGGTGAAGGTGTACAACAAGTATAAAAGAAAGATCTTTGTTCTTTAAATACACAACAAAATTTGTATACATTTAGGCATTATTAAAAATGCTTGAAGGTACAATAGTAAATGTTCCTGAAAAAAGTTCTCGAAAAATGCGTGGAGAAACGATACAAGTTGATACAACAAATATATTATTTGTTGCATCTGGTGCATATACTGGTCTTGATAAAATAATAAGCCGTCGTAAAAAAGAAAAATATATTGGATTTGGTTCAACATCCAATGAAGCACCATCACGTCGACGTGCAACACAACTTGATTTACATGAACAACATGAGAATAATGATAAAATGCTTATTGAAGACAATTTAGAACGTGATAAATATTTACAAGAATGTGAAGCACGTGATCTCATTGAGTTTGGAATGATACCAGAATTCGTTGGAAGGTAATTCATATAGAAAAATTCCTTTTTTTTAATTATGATTTTATTCAATGTAGATTGCCAGTTGTAGTTGCATTTCATAGTTTAAATGAAGATATGCTTGTCAGAATTTTAACAGAACCTCGAAATGCATATGTACCACAATATCAAGCACTTTTTCAAATGGATAAGGTATGTTTTATTTTATCAATAAATTAATAGATTGATTGAGACAGTTCGTTACTGATCAATTTAATTATTTCTTTCCAAATGGTTGATTTTTTTAATTCGGAAGTTAAAGCGGATTACTTAAAAAAAGATAGAAGTATCGGAAATAACTAGAGGATGTTCTGCGATTGTTTCCAACCTTTCAACTTTATCTTTTGATCATAAACACATTACAATAAAGCTAAGAAAATATTTCTCTGTAAATAGAAAAAAATTATCTACGTTTTGTGAGTGTCATTGCTTCATCATCTTCTCAACAAATCGATATTGAGATGTATGATATAAGAGTCATGTAAAATTTTTATACTCGTTCAAGATATTATGCTTGTTTAAAAATGCTTTTTATATTAAATATAGGTTCAATTGGATTTTACTGATGGTGCACTTCGTTCAATAGCTAAAAAAGCTGTTCTACGTCATACTGGAGCTCGTGGTCTTCGTTCAATATTAGTTCGTAGTTTTTGTTGAAATTTTTGCTATTCTATCTCTCCTTATCATTTTTCTTAGGAACGTATTTTACTTCAATCGATGTTTGATATACCCGAATCGGATATAGTTGGTGTTCGAGTTGATGAAGAAGCTGTTAAAACTAATAAAAGCCCTGAATATATTCGATCACGTCAAAGTTCCTCAACAGATAATCATGTTGAAAATTCAACAATAACAACAACAACCGAAGAAATAAAAACAAAACAAAATCATGATAATAAAATTTCCATCCCAACCGGTTAATAGAAAAAGACAAAAACAAGCAATTTTTAACAAATGATTACATTGGTTTTTAAAATCCGTTTTTTAATTTCTTTCAATTTTAGTTCTCCTTTCCTATTTATTTTTCTCTGTTATTGTAAACGAAGTCAGTACGTGTTGTTTCAAATCAATTCGTGATTTTGCCATTGTTTGTGTACAGCAAGAGAGAGGGTGAGAGAAAAAAAAACTTAATATATATTATTTGTAAATAAACGTAGTTAAGCAATAAGATTTTATTTAAATTAAAATAATAATAATAATAATAAACAATAAAAGAATCTAAAAAAAATTTTTATGTTTATATGGCAGGGCAAGCCACATTAGTGGCATAATCACAACGACCAAGGAAAAAATTGAAACGGAGACCTCGTGGACATGAGCGAGATATAATAATAGCTAAAAGAAAATAATTGTTAAGTAAATAGTTTTAATAAGAAAATCGATCACATACTGTTTTCGACACATTCAAAATATTTTCCTTGAGCACAACCATAGGCATCAGCATAAAAACCATTTGTTGGACATCGAAAATATTCTATTGAGAATTTTACAAAATAAAATATTAGATATTTTGCAAAGAAATCTTTTCTTACCTAATTCACATCGAGATCCTGTGAAACCAGGTCTAAATCAATCATCATTATAGATATATAAGAATTAGAAAAAAACAGAAATTTAAACTTACTTGCATAAACAATAAGCAAATATTGTTGATGCTGGTGAATGTTCATAGCATGTACCACCATTATAGCATCTAGCTGATACACATCTCGGAGCAACTTTAATTATTAAATGAATTATTTCTTTATCTTAAGAGATTTTCTACAACATACCTGTTTGTCGTTCGCAATAATCACCATGAAAACCCAATAAACTAAATGAATGAAAAAAAAACTATTGAAATATTTCATAACTAATTACATACCACCAACAAGTTGCATAAGTTGGAGTTAGAATGTTACAACTAGACATAATAAAAATTAATAAACGAGGAAAACAGATAAAGCTAAGATTCGAACTTACACTCCACCATTACGACATGAAATATCTCGACAAAGATCAGTACCTAGATTTAATCAAATTTTTTATCATATTACGTTTTGAAAATGTGTCATACTTCGTGCTATTTCACAACGTCCACCTGTATAACCACTTGGACATGTACATACACCCAAAATAGGATTACATACACCCTCATTTAAACATCCAAGAGTACAATAAGTAACTGACAAAAAACAAATGAAAGTTTTTCTCAAATTTTTTATATATTTTTTACTTACTAAGACCTGTGTTTATATCTGAATAACATCGATCTGCGATTCCACCATCTGAACAAATGCATCCAAACGTCGAATCAATTATAATGCAAACACCACCATCACCACAAAATGAATGTTCGCAAACAGCAAGTAAACGACGAGCTTTAAACAAATCATATTAATTGAATATTATTTCAAATAAGATTACAAACCATGAATATTAATCGATGTAATTTCAGTTTCATTATCATTTTTCTCTTCTATTTCAATACATGATGAATTTGTATATGTTCCATCCGGACAAGCACAAATTTCAGGCATATCTTTTATTTTTGTTTCCAGACATCGACCACCATCATTGCCACAATCCAACGAACATTCTGAATATAATATGAACTTACTGTTTTTTCTTATTTTTCCTTCAATCTATTACTTACCTCCTTGAACATATGAAACAATTATTAATATAATAAATATGAACATGAATTTATAGTTGAATAATTTTGATGACATTTTTTTTGTTATTAGGTTTATTTTCAAAACTGCAATGTCTGATAATTTTTACCTTGTGAATTTAACTGAGAAAAATGCCGTGTTTTTTATTATTGTACTCCGCCTACATATATATGATATGATTATTCAAGGCTAAGTAAATTTCTTTTCAATAACATCAGAGGATATAAGATGAACAAATATATTCTTTCTCTTTTAGCTTCAACATAACAACACACAAATATCACCTTCAACAACGATTTGAAATTTCAGACTATCAAGGACAATAAAAATATTCTTTCAATGATGATGATGTTGATGACGACATTTTAATCCTGTTTATATCATTTCTCCTTCTATGTCTTTATTTTTATTGATTTTATTTATTAAGACATGTAACAGAATTGGCATGATCATAAGACATTTTATTAAAATTAAATCGAAGTCCTCTTGGACATTTACCGAACATAAGTCGATCTATAATCAAAGTAAAATTTAGAAATATTTTCTTTTATACTTGAATAATCACAAAGACAAATAAGAACCTTGAGCACATTTATATTGATCAGCAAATGTACTTGCTTGTGAACAGCGAAAATATTCTAAAATAAATATATCCATATATTTCATGTCTAATAATCTATTTCACAGAATCTACCAATGAATCCTAGTGGACAAAAACACTTGTTCCTGGTGAATGCTCATAGCATGTTGCACCATTTCAATATTGAATTTGTGTACAACGTGAAGCAGCTAGAAATAAAGAAATTTGCAATGTATTGAAATTATTCTTTTATTAAACCTTGTCATCGTTCACAATATTAACTGTGAGAAAATATTTCTATTAGATAATTTTAATATCAGTTTTCTTACCTAATAAACACTAGCAAGTTGAAATAGTCGTTGGCGAAATTATATTACATACTCCTGAATCTTTACAAACAATATTATTACATAAAATACTTGCTAAAAGTATGGAGAAAAAAATGAATAATAATCTTTTAATCTTACATTCCAGTTGTCCACACTGTCGACCAATAAAACCTGTTGGACAAATACATGAGCCTGTATATGAATCACAAATACCTCGGTTGTAATATGCACATACTTTTGTAGATAGATATGGATCTACTGTTATTAACTTCTTTTGAATTAAATAAAATTATTTTAATTAATGATCTATGTTTTTACCTTGTGTGAAGATAAAAATATTTAATAAATTGAAAATAATAAATAATGCTTTTCTTGAAATATCGTAAATAATCAAACAGCGATAAAGCAGAACATGTTTTTAAAACAAAATTGATTAGAAAATGTATTCGCTTTCTTTTTTCATGAATATATTTATAGTTGTTATTTTTTTTAGTCGTTATGAAGGATTGGTGGTTTTTAGATCAAATTTCTCTCGGACTGAAAAACACGAAAATATGTTTTTTGTCAATATTATTTTATTTAGAATTAACGTATTTGATAGCATTTACAAGATATATTATTGTAAAATCTTTGTATTATTGTATTTAAAAATATTTTATGATATTTCTTTTGAAGATAATAATTTGGAATTCAAATATATAAAAATATTGATAACATATTGTTTATTTATCTTTGTAATTAATTTCTTTTATAATTTTGGATTTAAATTTAACTAATTCTTGTAAAAATTTGATTAACAATGGAAATTAAAAAAAATACAGTATAAAAATTATATGTAGAAGCACTTAAAATCATTTAAATCGACTTCATTCTCGAAAATAATCATGACGTCAGGTCACCTCGAATTCGATAGCTAAGAAGTTCGTTTTAATCGAATAATAGAAATCGAAGTATATATCGTCATATTTTCTTTTCTTCTTTGTTAGGTCTGCTATGTAATCAGTAAACAAGCTAATGTTATTTCTTTTCTTATCATCGAGGGATTATTTGATTCTCTCGATTTTTTAAAATACACATATATCTACATATATCATCATGTTCGATTGTAACGAAGAAAGACATTCGAGGCCAATTTTTATTGATTTCAAAGAAATCTAAAGAGAGAGAGAGAGAGTAAGTGATATCATCACTCCCCGATCAAGTCTAGAAAAGCCCTGTTGCTGTCGTTGTTCAACTACATTTTGAATACGAACGCGGTCAGTATTAGACGCAAACGCGCGTGTTAGATTGAAATAAGAAAATAAGAGAAGAGGGACGATTTGTTTATCGTCATTTTTATGCGTATTGTCGATATCGAACTTCCATTAAACCCCAAGATGAAACAGGTATAGTTAAATTTAGTTATTAATTATATTCAAAACTTATTATTATATTTATTTTATAGGGTCATTTGAAACTGTTATTGTGTCTTCTACTGGCAGCTAGTGCCACTGGACAATGGAACACCGGTAAAACTTTATTATATTCTATATTAATAAGATTAAATTAATCTACTGTTTATTAATATTTTTCAGCTGGACAACAAGGTGGTCCACAACCATTAGGTTTGGGACAATCAAGTATGAGTGCCTGGGGTGGTTTTTCAGGCATGGGAGC